TCCTCTTGCTCCTCAGGGTCGGACTTTTGTTCTTCTTTAATTTGGCTAGAAATTAGAAAAAAATGTGAACCCCGCATATTTAAAAGTCGAAATTGAAATGCCGACATATTTGGCAAATAAAAAAGTATTCCTTAATAAAGAATGGAATTTCGTTTGCCATTTCAAAACATAAACACAATTGGGCTATTTTTGAATTAGTAGGTAGACACCCCCGAGAATGAGAAGGCACTTTGCGCCATTTACCTGATCCATCGTCGTTAGTAAATCTACTTCTTCAAGCTACAAGTGTGAGCAACAAGATGCGCTCACGGGATGAAGTGCGGAACAAGGCACAACATCAATTTTTACTATGCGGGGTGTGCGATGGACTTACCTCCACGTGGTGCACTCTGGGCAACGTATACTCACATACGGCAAACAAGTCTATCAACCGGGAGTTGACTTCTCACTTCAAACTACCATGACCCCACTGTATGTCATATTCCACAACTTTCACAGTACTCACCACACATTTTCTCTATCTTTGTGTCTGTCTCTTTTACATCTTCGATTCATTATTCTGTCCCCCTCCCCTCGACATTTTGCCACTTTGATGTTCCTTCTCCTCTCCGTGAAGCAAGAAGTCAACTAAAGGGCTAATGATAACTATCAAAACGCCTGCCATTTGAAATCAATAAATACATAATTTTTTAACATACGTAATAGAAGACTTCATAAGGACAAGCGAAATATCAGCCATGTATCAACTGGGTTAAATGACTTCATTATACGAGGTTTATTATGTTCTTTAGTAGTAACTCGCTTAGGAAGCGAACAAATATGGAAGACAAAAAATTGTATCCTCAATGCTAAAGAGGTACATTTTTTAAGTAAAAGCCAAACCTATGATAGGTGTGATGATGGAGGTTTAAAGCTTAATGCAGCATTCAATGCGGCTTTACGCCTAATTTACATTATTGACATAATTTGAAATATGGTGAAGGGAAATTAGCGCAGATCAAAAATTGCAGTTCTTGAAAATATTAGTAGCCACCTTCTTAACTCAATTTCATTAGATAGATGATAGAAAGTATTCATACACGTTCATTAATCTAATGGATTACACCTAATCTCCAGAGTGAAAGGGCAAGAAAGCCAAATCGAACAAAATATTGATTCCCCCGCCCCACCCGTCTATATCTGAACATGCGATCTTGCCACTGCTGCAATGTAAAAGTCAAGTCAAAGCCTGGACATACTTCAAGCCACATAAGCAATTGTAATTCCTAAAGACGATTACGAATTGAGCAAACACAACTTCTTGGGTGATAGGAATACCTTAAAGGAGGTCCACATTTATCAGTGGCAATGCGACAGCTTTCTTAAGAAGAAGCCGGATAGGTGGATCTTCCATGTTATAACGAAAAACAGAGTAAAGATAACTAGAGAGCACCTTACCTCTCAGACATCCGAGCTAACTTAGCCGCCGAAATACCACGTCGTGAAGATAATGTCGTACCTCCACGAAGACTTGATTTTCCTCGACGTCTTTGAGATGCTATAGACGACTCCACCCGACTGCCGCTGGAAAGTCGACGTTTCACGGGGAAGAACTCATAGCTACTTAAACCCTCTCGTCCTTTACGAGCCAACTTGAACATAAAAGGGAAAAATGTTTGAAATACGGGAAAACAATTAGAAGAACAGACAAGGGTATCCCCAAGCACAAAGTAGCTTCCTGTTTAACTAAGATGTGATATTTGCTTAGTAATTATATTATGCCACCAAATATAGCATTGAAGCAGAATAAGTGGAAGTAGAATTGATCAGCAAAAGCCAAAAAACCAGTACGAAATCACGCGCGCTGGTATACAGAGTAGCAGAGCGTGAAGAACAGACTAAGCTAGGCACCTAAGATATCAATGATCTCCAAGCCCCTCCCNTCCCCCCCCCCCCCCCCCCCCCCCCCCCCCCACCTTGTCAAATGCCATTTGCCATTAAAGTAAGATGGCCGCTTCATCTCACCTTTGTGGTTTTTATGCCTATACTGGTCCTTATCGCATTCCTTCCTATTAAGTCTTCTTGTGGAAGAGATATTCATTAGTAGACTCACTTAGACTCGTAACCCTACGCAAGCCTATTTTAATAATTAGTGGTTAAATTGAGATCAACATGTCTTCCAATTGGCCGCTACTATTAAGAATACCTTAAGCACAACAGCAACCCCTTCGATTTGGGTTATGTCACAGGAACATTAAAGAAGGCTACATATTTATGGCAAAGCCATGATCTTATTCAAGAAAAAGAATACGAAAGATATTAATAAAAGAAAGGTCTTTTTCTAATTTTCCACTCCAACTAAAGGTGAAAATTTTAGGTAGAAGAGGAAAAATTAGGCTAAGCTTATTAAAGAAACACTTACAGTAGCATAGAAGGGTTTCTCCGAAGAAGAAGCTACTACACAATTCTGCCTTCTAGGTCGTTGGTATTTATTGACTATCTCCCCATTCCCATGACCACCACCAATGACACTTCCTCCAGGACGTTTTCTATCACTTCGACGACGCATAGCAGTCTCTTCTGCACAGATGATACGCGGATGCAAAGCGCCTTCACAGTCCGGATCCACGGCCAAATTCATCTGCCAAAGCCATCTCGTCTGTGGCATAGACATCTCTAGGGCGCACGCCTCTGCAATCAGATTATTCAAGCTGTAGCGACCCTCTGGATGAACAGAATAACGGAATGTGGAGGGCTGTGAAAGTGATCGGGGCGGCATAAAGCTGGAACTGGCACCTCCAGTAGTATTGGGCATTCGAAAATGTGGAGGAGATCTGTGGAAATCCGGTTCGATTTCTAGTCGATTCACTGAAAAGACGCGAGTGGGGGGGGGGGGGGGGGGGGGAATAAAATTCCGCATTTATTTAATTTTGAAAAAATAGAGTGAGAAAATTAGACATACCCTCTCCACTGGGAATTTGACTTCGCACTTGATTGTGGATGTAGGGTGGACTGGCTTCGGAGGAAGTGAAAGGAGGTGATTTGACTTGGGAAGCGGTGGATGGTTCCGCCGAAGACATAATCGCCAAAGCAACTGCTGCCTCCTTCTCATTCTGCTCCTTCCTTAATTCTGACGTTTCCGAATCTTCCGGTTTCTATAAGGTTAAAATGAAATTTTTTACGCCACTTTTTGCAACCATAGAGGCGTACTTTTCAGCTAATGTAATTCCCCTTTACAATCTAAAGATAGAGCCACAAATAGCAGCAAGGAGAAGAGAACATAAAGTAAGAGAGAGAGAGAGAGGGAGGGAGAGAGTAAAAGTTCAGTGGAACCTCAGAAGAAATCGCAGAATAGGCAATTTGAAAATTGAATTTTACAAAATATCGATAAGAAGGTGGTGAAGCGATTTATATAAAATCAAAGATGAGATGTGCAAATGAAATCTTTGACGGGACTACAATGGCTTTTAAATAGAATCTGAAAAGAGGTGACTGATTTTAATACTAAGTGGAAAAAATTTGACATTTTGAGGAGAAAAAATTCAAATTAATACGCAAGTCAAGTTTAAGCGTGCGTTGCTTTCATAATTGACTTGCTGTTGGGTTCTATTAATTTACTGTTGATATACCTTTTCTCCAAATTGTTGTTGCTGTTGTTGGTGACGGAGTTGCTGAAGTCGCTCTTCAGAAGTGACGAGACTTCGGGGTGCAGATGTTCGTAGGACCAAGGGTTGCATACCTGGAGGTCTAGTAACGTTAGGTGGTAAGTGAGAACGCGAGAGACTTGATCCCATAGCTTGACCTCTCTGCTGGTGATGTTGGTGTCTAGTCGACCTCGTAGAAGCGAGTATTGCAGCTTCATTGTAATTTTGCCACTGTATTTTAACGCCAGAAAACGCCTCATATTCACGCAATAATTCCCATAAATCCCTTCTTCTCTGAAATGGTAAAGAGGAGGAGGAGGAAATCAGAAATTTTTTGATTACTGGAATGTTAACAAGTAAAACGATAGTACAACTCACATCAATGACCTCTTTGACACGACGGGCGAAGATGAAGGCCCGCTCACAAGCCAAATGAACAGCAGTAAGAAAAGGGAATTTCAACAGCAAAGGGATTGAGGAAAGAACACTTGTCAACTCAGAGCCGATGTTCTCGACCGATTTTGACCAATCTCCCAGTCTATAAGGTGGAGTAACTTCGTTGTCTTCGTCCTCCTGACCCAAGAAATGCGGCACCAATTCCTTCAAGATTAAAATCACCTCAGCCAATTCCGGGCGATTTGTGCGCTCGCAGTGAGGGCAAACGTAGCGAAGACGACTGACATCGACATTCTAGAGAAGTTCAAAGGAAAGAGTGGGAGAATGCATAAGCATTTATATATTCTTAACATGTGGCGAAATGAATGTGCTGCCAAATGAAGGTTTGTGAAGAAAAAACGATAATAAGACATAAGTTAACTCAGCTTCGGGGATGATCAATGACAAGTTGTCTGAGGAACGAGAGCCACCCTGTTGAAATGAGAACTGGATCGAGATATAATCCGATTTTTCAAGTGAAAAAAGCTTTCCATACTTCATTTTAAACTGAGACTAGTATTTGACATGCTTTCAGATCCAGCTTCATGTCAAACTAAAATATCCTTCAAATTTTAGCCAGTAGGTCTTAAACCCAAGTCAAGTGTAGGCGACATTTCTTAAGGGCTCAGGCAACATATTTATTAGAAAAAAACACAATATCTGCAGTGAAAGGAAACAACCACAAGGCGATTTTCAACTCTCCATGAATCTATTCAAATGGTACTACTCATTCGTTTGAAAGTCATCAACTATTACTTACATTCTGCTACCTTATCAAGGAATAAATTTTCTCTGATATATATATATGAATGTGCTAGGGGCTATCTGGCATAATTTGGTCATCCGCACAGGGAAGACTTTCGGAAAACCCCGGTAGATACCATCTTGGAACGGACGTACTTACCTTAGACGAGAAACCAACACATCTCTTATGGAACCAGTCTCGGCAAAGTTCACATTGTAGCATAAATCCAGAGTAGCCGGGTTGTCGGCAGACGCAATAAAACACACTATCTTGATCTCTATGCTTCGATTTGCGATTATTAATTTTACGCAAATAGTGGAGCAATTTAAGCTCATCGTCAATCATGCTGGAGTAGACGATATCGTAGAGATTGTCAAAAGACCTTCCAGTATTTAGTTGCTCCATAAATACCTAACGAGAGAAGGGGGGAAACAAGAAGATAAATTGCCATCAACGAGCGTAGAGGAGAGGCGGTAAAAAGTGTGTATGACCTACCTTAACATTTCTTCTACAAGCCTCAGCATAGGCTTGACTACTACAGTCACCCGGGTCAGAAGCCAATGATTGAGCACTTGGAAAGTGTTCAATATCACGGTACATAAGGATGGCAAGGGCAGCTTTTGGTCGCGGTAGTGCTGCTTCGAGAAATCGTTCTACATTAAACTCCGATTCGTCCTCAAAAGGCATGAAGGCGGCTTTCAGTCGCTCGTAGCATCGACTAGCAACAACAAGCTGAAAGTAAGTAAGACCGGTCAGAGTAATTCATTTGACCAAACCTTGCCTCTGATGACTTCATGATCAAGGTCTCAGTTTTAACCAATTAACCAATTAAAGACTTTACATCTGGTAACTCTTATGGGGTTGTAAAAACTAAAAAAAAACCAAAAGCCTCACCAATTTCTTAATCCTCGAAGTGTCAGGGAAGATGAATGGTAATCGTTTGGCGCCTCTACATAGTTCATTGTAGAACTCCAACCAAAGCTTTGGCGTAGATTCAGGAGTATTCAGCTTGATTCTTTGAACAAACTCCTCAGGAAGTTTAATCCTGGCATCGGCTCTAGATGGTTTCCGCGTAGCATACCCTGGGTGCATATCCACCTCTGTACTTCTCTCCCTATGAACGCGATTTAATTCAATAATACGCTGGAAGGCGTTCAAATGGTCCATTATGCTTCGTGCTTTCGTGCACATGGCGGATAACTCCTCGGCCGCACTGAAGGTCCCTAGAACATTCCCTGTTCGTTCCACTAATTTCTCTGCTTCCAGAAGATGACATGATCCATGACTAGGAGGGGAAAAAGAAGGTGCAACATAAGTTGATAGATATCAATTAAGACAAAAGCAGAGCTAATTAAGATTTTCGGCGTGGAGTCAATGCTCCCTAAACACTCTCAGCAAGTTATTGCAAGACTTGAGCTCCGTTAAGTACTGTGAAAAGGCTACCCTAAAGACCACAACCTAGGAGAGACATGAATGATGAAAGGCCTACTTCGTGGATTCATCTAAAATAGCTCGAGGTCAAACTTTAGCAGAGAATAATCAACCCCCAGGGTTACAAGAGAAAACATCTTTGCCTTTCTCAAACTGAAAATACTTTTGAATAGCGCAGTATCAATGAGAAGGGAAGAGTCATAAGCAGGGCCGGCTTTGGCACAATTCTTAATCCTCAAATTTTGAGATCTTACCTGGGGGTGGGGGGAGAGTTTGCCAAAAATAGCAAAATGTGACGCTAATAATTGCATGTGATTGCTCACAGAAGAAGATAGTTTTGCACTTTTACTTTTTTTCTGCATAAGGCTGGGTAATTTGAACTGCTAATTATCATATTGAAGTATTGTGCAAACGAGTTGACAAGGTCAAATCAATCAAAACGTCTATTTCTGATTGGAGTAGAGTAAATCTCCACGTCAAGGGAATATTTGTGGAAATGAAAGCAACGCTCCCGCCCTATTGACGAGATCGCTATACCTTGGAAGCAAAGATTAGTAAGAGCTTCCACTGCCCAATTTCAGGAAGTTTCAAGTCTTATAATATAAAAGAGAAGAACAATTTAAACCATACATATCTGGATGTCATCCATAGTGTCAATATTGGATTTAATGCGACCTAAAGCAACAGGAGGTGAGAAGAGAACAATTATTCGGAATCCCATGGACTAAATAGCCCTATCCAGGATATGTGCATACTTTAGTAGTACATGGGCAATGCTTCAAGGAGAAGATAACTCACGGTGCTTTTAAGAATTTCTTCATACTAGCCTCCAAAATTTGAGTGGCATTAATTGCAGCTAAAAGACGTCTGTTATATCGGGAGACAGCCATTTCGAGAGCAATTGTGGTATCTGCAGTAGAATCGCCCTGTTGTGCAGTTCCACCTTTCATGTCCTCGGCCGCATAGTTGAGTAGATAGAAGGTGAGCCTTTGTCCCCGTGCTTCAGTATCAAGTAAATACTTCAAGGTGGGACGCTTGTCACACCCGAGACCGCCTTCACTAGACGCCTCACCATCGAGCAAATTCATTATCGATTCGATTGTATTTAACCAGGAGAGACATTCCAAAACCTTTGCGAAAAAAGGAAGAAAGGCGAAATTAACGATAAATTGTATGATACATGAACAAACTACGTATATCTATTTCAGTAGCATACATATCGGAGCGGTAGAAGGGGTTTAAGGTCAACTTCAATATTCCTTCCAAAATTAACGAGATCTTCCACTCGCTGGAGTTCAGGAAGTGGTGGGAGAGGACGGGCCAAGTCAGTATCTTCTTCCTTTTCACTTTGTACAATTTGGCTACTTAGCGTCAGGACTTCAAAAGCCGAAACCTGCCATTCTTCAATACGTCTTTTGAGAAGGTTTAGCTCTTCCATTTCTGGGAATTCACATGGCAGTTTGTTCACTTTTTCCACAAAAAGTTCAAACTCACGCAAAGATAGCTGAAATAGAAATCAAATAACGACTCGAGACAAAGCATAGAGTTATTGGTTAAAGACGAAAATGAGTGTTCCATTCGAGAGATATCGACAAAAAACAAAGGAATTAAATATAACAGCAGAATATGTAGGAAATAGAAGAACATGCCTTAGCGAGATCTGGATTCAAAGGAAGATCCGGTTGAACAATATCCTGAGAAGACCACTCAGGAGATTCCTTTTTCAGCTTTTTCGGGGAGGACTTCATTTGTTCACTGGGTGAAGAATCAGCGGCGAAAGAACCGCTGGGTTTCATATCCCCACTTGCCTCCTTTTCATCCAGTTTCAGATGACAAATACTTCGCACAGTGGTGGCGTACTCCTCCACCTCAGTAATGACAGCACTTAAGGCATCGATCAAGTTATCAGGGTAGACATTTCGTAGACCCTTATCGCGTAAGTCCTATGGAAAAGGGGCACCAAAAATTTAAGGTGCTTCTGAGCGACTAAATGGGGTTATAAATGGCGTAGAGATAGACAAAAAACGTACAATCAACTCCTGAAGCGATATTCGTGAAACAGGGGGAATTTCTTCAAGCTCAGCCTTGATTGTTATCGGCTCAACTAGAGAAAAGGCAAATTTGATATTGAATAAACTACTCGAAAGTGCGAACACAGTCAGCGCAATAACAAAAGAGGTATTAGTAAATGGTGCTATAAATTTAATTTTAATTAAATTAACAAGAAATCTAAAAAAGGTCAATTTCCAATCAGCTCATTCTTACATCCAAAGAGGTATATAGACAGAGTGTACATCCCCAAACTTCTTGAATATCTGGAAGAAATCGATTGATTGATTAAATACACATAAAGAAAATGAAGTGGATTATTCGAATAAAATGGGACCTATGATTATTTTGAGGAGTTTAGACCTTGACTTCAACGCGTCTTCCTAGATGAATATAAAATAAGCACTACTGCCAAAGAGCGCAAAAAAGAATTGATTCAAGCTTTTTTAATTCACGTTGTCAATGGAGATATAAAGGTTGTCCCACTTACCCCACGTAGAACAATAATTCCTACCACTTAAGCTTTCATTGGAGAGGGGACGAAGTAGTCAATACGTTCCAACCAAAGCCCAAATTCCTAATCTGAGAGAAGGGGGGGGGGAGGGGGGAAGTATGTCTGATTCAAGTATACAGAAGGTAAAGCCCTCATTGATTAAGGACAGATGATATTGTGAGAGAACATTCTATCACGCTGCGACAGGAGTAAATATCCATTACTCAATTCAATTTAAAGATTCAAATGGATCCACATCTAGGTCATTACCTCTCTCCCACTGAATGCAATTAGGCATTTTAGTCAATAAAAAACGTGAGATAAATCTCTCTCTATTACGACAAATGTCATTAAAACTTCCTTTTTTAATTACAGGATTATTTACACTTCACACGATTAGTTAAGTTTATAAAAACTGAGCGACTTCAACATAACTACGACGTTTGATTAGAGATTGACAGTGGTAAATAACCTTTGGTGTGACATATTTGAGCTGAATATGAGGCGCAATTGTTAGCTCTATTACCCAATTTAGGATTAATTAAATGATTAGAGGGGATTAAGATATCGCTTGAAATAATAATAAACTGAAAAAATTCGCCTTCCGCTCTGTCACCACCAATACATATCTTCGCGGTTCCAACATGGCTTCGAGAATAACTGTAACAAGTATTAACTTACCAGCGATATTGGCCTCCGAGGGAGCGCTCTGATGCACTTTTCCATTAGACGTTTCTTTTTCAAACTCCTCCTTCGTATCCTCACCAACCACCTCCTTTTTAATCTCTACTCTAGGTAGAGAATTAGCAATAAGCAGGAAGTCATCAACACGCGCCTTCCATTCGTGGTATTCCCTTATCCTAGCCTGTGGACGTTGGGAGATCTGCTTGAGTTCGTCTAGATCGTAGCGGTAGATGAGAATTTGCTTTTCGGGGGGACAGCAGGTACAATTTTGGTAGTGCTCCAAACAAAGCATTGCTAAACGATGCAAGAAGATCGAAAATTGGTTAATAGTTTATCTCATCCTCCAAGTTGGGTGGGGGGGG